AACAGGATTTAACGTAACAGAACTCTGCCCACATGGCATGCTGCAAACTGGTCCTTTATCATCACTGCATTCAAGTCATGGTGATTCAACAAGATTCTGCCTTTCATGAGAAGATATAATCTTGCTATGAGCTTTTAAGCAGTTATAGATTACCATTCTTCCTGAAATGGTACTCCAGTGCTCTTACAGTAATATTTTTTCACCTTGTTTCCAGTCACTGTATCTTACTGCACCTTTGTTAGAGAAAATAGACAAAAAAAAAAATAACAAAAGCACCCGTAGTCTATCTGTTCATATCTTACTGCAATAAGGCACCAGATTTATCCATTTTGAGATCCCATTTGAAGGCAGATTTTTGAGGTACACGCTATTTTCACAGGTCTTCTCTGAAGCAGCTCAATATTTTTGAACTGTAAACACATTTGGGCACAATATTCCAAGAATGGTATCATCAAAACTACACAGAGAGCATGTGCATTTGTGCATGCACACACAAGGAAGAAACGTGCTTTCTCCTGAACAGAAAATTTCATTTTGGGTCCTATGTTCTCTTTTGGAAAAATAGGAAAAATATACAAAATGGTCTCCAATTCCTCTCTGTGCTTACAACTTAGTATTTTAAAATTTCTGTCCTCCCATCTCACAGAGCCTACAGTTTCATTACTAGGTTGCTTAATCTTGGCTACTTTATCTATTTCTCACCAGTGAGCTTACCAAGCAAGACACAGAACTTCGTAGTTTTACACAGCTAAATGCACATGGGAGAATATATTGATCGTTTCGACCTTTCCTTATTGGCTAAAAGAAGGCAGCCCAGGAATTTACCTGGATTCGAAGGTCAGACATCTGTTTTAAGAGATCCTCAAAGAGCTCTCTGTCAGCTGCTGGAAGTTCTGAAGACAGCACTACTCCCACATAGGACCCTGGTATCTGGGACATCATGTCAGGGAACATGTAGACTCCAGTATTGCAGCACAGAACAGGAGACTGGTTACACATTAGAGGATAAAACCAGTCACAAATCTAGAAAAGATAAGTACATAAAGGAATTAAAGGAACCTTTTAAGAAGAAAGGCAAGCAGAACTTGCTGATAAGCACCATAAACTTGGTGTTCCATAAAGTTTAGTAAGAAAAATAAAAAAGCCTTATGCCATCTTGGGGTAAAAAACCAACCAAACAAAAAAACCCACGTGACTGTGGAAATCTCATTCTTGATTAGTTCTGACAGTCTAATATAGAGAAAATATTATAATTTTCACAGGACTATAATTCAGGCCAGTAGCCTCTTAACTGAGGTCTAGTCTTGAGGCCCAGGTGTAGAAGCAGATGAAAAGCACTGCCAAACAAGTCAGGATTCACAGCACCTGTAACTTCCTGTAGATCTCAGGACAGGTTTATATGATAAAGAGAACGTATGGCTGTTGCTGGACGACTGTTGAAGACTGCTAACACAAGTGGAGGTGAACCTGCAGACCCGAAACCAGGAAGCAGTTTTTGTTTGTTCCTCCAAATTTCCCCTTCACTGGTGAGACTTCCAACAGCCAATCTTAGCAGCAGCAATGAGACTGAAAGTCAGAAACCACACCAGAAACACAATGTACATTACAGAACATGCCCACATGAAGCAAGCATGGACTGAAAAAATCCAAATAATGCATCTTTTTTATTTGCAGTTCAGAGTCTGGATTAACATGGGCCCTCAAATTCCAAATTATCAGTTGTCCTAACTGCAATACCTTATCACTAGTTGAGACTTAAGCGGGTAGTGCGCAACCCCGTTTTACACTGACATCACAGCAGGTGAATCAACATATCTTCTCTATGTGAGGAAAGGGTAGTTAATTTTATGAAATGAAAAGCCATGTTCAGTCAACTCCTTTAGAAAATGGAATTTGCCAGAACAGTCAGCACTCGACAACCTTGGGCAGACACAGAGGTGATTTTTGCAGAAAAAGTCATAAAAGCATATATTTGTAGAAAACCATTTTTCCAACAGCTATAACATCCTTCATATTATCACACAGAGATTTAAGCTCAGAAGAGCAAGAACTTAAGAAGATTGCCTTTTAAAGTTTTATGACAGTTCTTGAAATTTAATTAAAGGAGAAAATTATTTTCCTGTTACCTGAAGAAACGCAGGTGGACGATTCTGGGCCATCTCACTATCTGTATCCAAGAACTTCACAATGCGTAGATATCCAGGATATGAAGGAGCACTAACCTGCCCATCAGGAGTCACAAAGAATATCTGTACTCCTTGGGGAATCAAGATCAGCTCATCTGCATCCACTCCCAGGTTTTCAAGGGGAGGTGGCTGAATACACTTACTGTAGTAGTCCTCACCTACAGAAGAAAACTCCCCAGAGTCTGTGCCATAAGACACAGTAAAATGGCCATTGGTAGCTTGAGGAGTATACGCAGGAGGTGCTTCATTTGGCAGACAAAGAGGTTTTGCAGCCGATGGACTCATAGCTGGAATTTGCCCCTGGCTCACAGTTGCAACACTTCCATCTGCTGCAGGTGGCTGACTTGGTACAAACAGAGCATTAGGGGCTGGGGGTCTTTCCGGCTTTTCTTTGGAAGGAATGGATGGGTACAACTTGGGCACGCCAGCAGGGGCATCCATCGCAGCAGGACTTGCTTGTACAGTTGGGGTGTTTTGTCCTAGAATGTCGAGTCGAGTGTGAACGTTTCGGAGGGTCTCCCTCATCTTCTGTTGCATTTGCCTGGCAGACTCCCACTGGGACCCTACACATGCAGGACCCTGCGATGGAATGCTGACTCCTCGGAGCAAGTGGTCAAGTCCTTGCTTATAATAATTTCTTGCCTCCTCCTTCTGACCCAGTTCATCTGTATTCAGTGCTTTATTGATAAAAATAAAGGCTTTCCTGTACTCTTCGCTAATAGCTTTAATATTTGCATCTTCTTCCATAACTGGATCCTGTAGTTGTTCCATTACTGCAAATTGGAATAGATTAGTAGGAGTATTCACAGATGAGGCCAAACAAAGTTTACCTTAGAATAAGGTCCTCTAATCGGTTTCTAACAATGACTATACTCTGTGTATTAGCAGAAAGCTATCTAGTTGCTTGGTACAGTGTCTGGTACGTTACGGTTATCTCCTATTAACCTTCAGACTTAGAATATATGATTCCAAGTCAGCAAGGAATTTAACTCTATAACCATCACATCTAGTTACATCACAGGCAGGTATTTCTTAAAAGTTAAGCATTAGAACAATATGGATATGCCTGATATTAAACTTCCCATCTTAAACAGTATTAAGATCGGTAGCAAATGGTGGAGTAAAAAAAAAAAAAATTAAAAATCTAATTTTACTTTTGGTAATATTTAAAAAAAAATCTTCAGGATATTAAGAAATTCAGTTAACATTTTGTCTGTTTAAATAAAGGCTGAACTGAA